CAGCTTGAGTGATGTGGCTGCTGGCTTTGTGGGGACCATCAGTGTACGGGGCTCTGCTCAGCAGCCCTGTTGGAGAATGTGATCCCAATTCTCCTCTTCTCTGAGAATGAGAATCCTCAGCCTCTTGCACAGTATAGTGTCAACATCACTCCCAGTCTCTTCAATAAAATGGTCTGTTCCTATGTCCATCAACTAAAATATGATACAGAGGCTATCCATTCCTATCCAGTAGGAGCAACTTGACAAACCTGCACAGGGGCAATGGTTCCATCCTTAGGCAGTTTTACAGATACATGGTATTGGAATGCCCTGTTTTTTTGTTGCTTTCCTTTTTTTTTTTCCCCCGAGACAGAGTTTTGTTCTTGTCGCTCAGGCTGGAGTGCATGATCTCAGCTCACTGCAACCTCCTTCTCCCAGGTTCAAGTGATTCTCCTGCCTCAACCTCCCAGGTAGCTGGGATTACAGGCACCTGCTACCATGCCCGGATAATTTTTATATTTTTAGTAGGAACGGGGTTTCATCATGTTGGCCAGGCTGGTCTCAAACTCCTGACCTGTCTGTTGCTTTCCAACCTTGTCCCCAGCCCCCTGACTGCAGTGGGCATATGGGCCTTCTCATAGCTCAATCAAGTCTCTCTGACCAGCAAAGATACAGGCCTCTGTTTGCATCCCAAATTCACTGACCCTAGAGTGCTCTGCATATACAGATGAAACAGAAAACTGTTTTGTCACTATATGTTCATCTCTTAATAGCTCCGACATTTTCATGTCTAGAAACAAGATGCCACTGTTGCCTTAGTATAGAGTGATCTCTGGTCCATACTAGAGGGACAGCCTAATGCTGAGGCTCTTCAGCTGCTGGCCCCTTGGGGGCCTAGAGGATAATGTGGTGGGCTCAGTGGTCTGTGAGTCAGGGCTCTATCCAATAAAGTACTTCTACATGATGAGAAATAAATGTAGCTGTTCCTTTTAAGTATTTTTCTTTTGAGACAGGGTCTCATTCTGTTACCTAGGCTGGAGTGCAGTGGTGCGATCTCAGCTCGCTGCAGCCTCCGCCTCAAAGGTTCCAGTAATTCTCCCACCTCAGCCTCCCTAGTAGCTAGGATTACAGGAGTGTGCCACCATAGCCCGGCTAATTTTTGTATTTTTAGCAGAGATGGGGTTTTACCATGTTGGCCAAGCTGGTCTGGAATTCCTGACCTCAGGTGATCCACTGGCCTTGGCCTCCCAAAGTGCTGGGAGTACAGGCATGAGTCATCGCGCTGGGCCAGAGGCCAATAATTTGGTATTGTCAGTCAATTTCTGTGAAACGCAGACAACCAGTAGGTGATATTCATGTCTGAATAATGAATTTAAAACATTACTTCTCCTAAAAAAATATTTCATTTAATTATTGCCTAATTTATGGTACTTGAAGATAAATAATACACGGTATACATATAATTAGAATTCCTTTAAAAAAATCAGAACATGGGCCAGGAGCAGTGGCTTATGCCTGTAATCCCAGTACTTTGGGAGGCCGAGGCAGGCAGATTACGAGGTCAAGAGATCGAGACCACACTGGCCAACATGGCGAAACCCTATCTCTACTAAAAATAGAAAAATTAGCCATGTGTCGTGGTGCACATCTGTAGTCCCAACTACTTGGGAGGCTGAGGCAGGAGAATCACTTGAATCCAGGAGGCAGAGGTTGCAGTGAGCTGAGATCACACCACTACATTCCAGCCTGGTGACAGCAAAACTCTTTCTAAAAAAAAAAAAAAAAAAAAAAAATCAGAATGTCCCGTCTCTGAAACATAAATCTGTTAGCTTATCAGTGCTTTAGTTAATCTATTATACTACAAAATACTAATAACACTGTTTTGTGTTTTATATGTATATGTGTATATATATATATATTTAGGGGGTCAAGCTGTTCTTTATTTCAGGGAGAGGGCAGGGACAGGGGCTCAGTCTTTCTTGGCAGCGGCTTTCCTCATGGCGGCCAGGACATTGCTCTGTTTTGTGTTATATTTTAATGAAACTTTAGATTTATGATTGCTCTACTGTTACCAAGAGCACAGCCCTACAAGATACAGCTGTACAAGATGTGATGTTCTAGGTATTCGAACATTCTCTATTAAAGAGAAAAAGGAAACCCCATTAGTGGATCCATTCATGTTTCAGTTTCTAGGTAACATCAATATAAACTGTCCACATAAATCTGAAAAGCTGACAGGATTTTTCTTCCTGAAGGATAAAACTTCAAGGCTTTCATACATTCTGTGTAATTCTTTCTAATCGTTAAGTATTGTACAAGAGGCTGCAAATGTTACAGGCCAATGAAACATATAAATTCTTCTTGTTTAACTGCTAAAGAGAAATGTATCACTTTGCCATAATAAATGGAAAAGAACTGGATTGGAAATCTGCAGAGATAGGTTTTACTTTAGGCTCTGCAAATAACTATGACCTTAGGCAAATCATTTAACCTCTTCAAGCTGAGCTCTGATCTCCAAGGTCTCTCTTCCCTGGTGTAACAGGATGAGCTTGCAATTAAGAGAGAGGCCCCTAGATGGTGGTGTTGTGCTGAATCAGGCTTTGTATTTTTTTCCTTCTATAATTACAGTGACGTAAAAAGGCAGAGGTTAGAAAATGACTTCACATTAGTTCTGAAAAAAATTCACTGCTGGATGGGCAAGGTGGCTTATGCCTCCAAACCCAGAACTTTGAGAGGCCGAGGCGAGAAGACTGCTTGAGCCCAGGAGTTTAACACCAGACTGGGTAACATGGTAAACTCTGTCTTTACAAAAAACAAAAAATTATGCCAGACGCAGTGGCTCATGCCTGTAATCTCAGCACTCTGGGAGGCCAAGGCGGGTGGATCACTTGAAGTCCAGAGTTTGAGATCAGTCTGGCTAACATGGTGAACCTGGTCTCTACTAAAAATACAAAAAAATCAGCCAGGCACGGTAGTGCGTGCCTGTAATCCCAGCTACTCAGGAAGCTAAGACAGGAGAATCACTTGAACCTGGGAGGCAGAGGTCATAGTGAGCCCAGCTAGCACCGCTGCACTTTAGCCTGGGCAACAGAGTAAGACACCGTCTCAAAAAATAAAATAAAATAATAAAAAATTAGCCAGATATGGTGGCACATGCCTGTAGTGCCAGTTACTTGGGAGGCTGAGGTGGGAGGATCACTTGAGCCCAGGAGTCTAAGGCTGCAGTGAGCCAAGATCATGCCACTGCACTCCAAACTAGTCAACAAAGTGAGACCCTATTTCTTAAAAAAAAAAAAAAAAAAATCACTGTGAAGAATTCATAAAATGGCATTGAATCATATGGCTCATGTGCATTTGACATTAATTTAAAAAACCATTAATGATTACACCAAAGTGACTATATTGCCTCATAATTAGTCAATATATTCATTGTTAGTTTCTCTAGGTATATTTGAGTAAGCTTAAAAAACTGAGTAAAAACTAAGCAATGATTGTTAGGAGTACTGATTTACAACCCTAGAGAAAAATGATTTTTTTTTTCAAATGCCAGTTCTAATAATAAATTCTGATAAACACACTTTCATTCTGAATATTATAGACTATACTCAAGACCTGTGATTTCTATGAGAACAATGATAGATATATTCCATTACCCTTCCAGCCATGTAAGCAACGGCATCTTTTAAAGAAAAATGCTGTCTTTTAGTGTTCAAAGGATAGTAATAATATATTAAATGGCTTCTCTAGTTTATTTTTTCACTCGAGTCTGCTTTCTAGGAAAGGCTTCTCTCTATGTTTAACTTACCAAAGGATTAAGAGATTCTAGTTTGAGGAGGCTTAGATGAACAAGATCAAATTTTAACCTAAAATTCCTGAAAGGAAACAGAATGCATTCCTCTTTCTCTCCCATAAAATTCACCGAATATAAAAAGTATGTTTCTCCTTAAACATTGTCAGTCTTGCCTTGAATTCAATCAATATACAGAATAAGAAAGTAACTATTAAAGTCCATATGTTACCTTCTTGCTTCCTGTCAGTTGAGTGGGTAATAAATGGTAAGCATGAAATAGAACTTAAGATCGAAATAACATAAAACTGTGAATTTTGTTTCAGTATATATTTAGGTCGAAAATTAAAGAGAAGGCAGGGCATGGTGGCTCACATCTGTAATCCCAGCACTTTGGGAGGCCAAGGCAGGTGGATCAAGACCAGGAACAAGGTCAGGAGTTCAAGACCAATCTGGCCAACATGGTGAAACCCTGTCTCTACTAAAAATGCAAAAATTAGCTGGGCTTGCTGGCAGGAGCCTGTAATCCCAGCTACTCAGAGGCTGATGCAGGATAATTGCTTGAACCTGGGAGGCAGAGGTTGCAGTGAGCCGAGATCGCACCATTGCATTCCAGCCTTGGGGACAAGAGTGAGACTTCATCTCAAAAAAAAGAAAAAAAAAAATTAAAGAGGAAAGATACTGAGTGAATCCAAGATGGTATTGCTATATGTGAAAGTCATCCATCCATCCTCCACCCATCTATTATCCATCTATCCATCCACCCACCCAACCACCCACTCACTGACTCTGGCCAACCAACCAACTAACCCAACCCACCAACCAACTTTATTCAGCCTGAATGGTGCAAAGGACTAGAGATAACAAAGATAAATAAGATATCACAGGCCAGATGCAGTAATCCCAGCATTTTGGAGGCCAAGGCAGGCAGATTGCTTGAGCCTAGGAGATTGAGACCAGCCTGGACAATATGGTAAAACCCTGAAAGAAAAATATATATACAAAAATTAGCTGAGTGTGGCAGTGTGTGGCTGTGGCCATAGCTACTTGGGAGGCTGTGGCAGGAGAATCACTTGAGTCCAGGAGGTAGAGGTTGTGGCAGTAAGCCAACCAAGATTGCACTGCACTCCAGCCTGGTCAAAGGGAATTAAATCCTATCTCAAAAAGAAAAGAAAAGAAAAGAAAAGATACCACCTCCATTCTCAAAAAACCCAGTCTAATCTGAGAAAGGGACTTTGAAAGTTCAGTTCAGTTTATTATAGTGTCAAGTAGATTTAAAACTATTGCACTTATCATCTGATGACAGAAGGCCAAAATTAAAGATGGAGATTTTCCTCTAATAAAGATAGGCTTTCAAAATCTTCAATATAAGATGTTAAAGTTACAAAGGCAAAGATATATACCTCATGTCCCATTCCATACCCTTCCTGCTATTGTACAGTTTGCTTCAAATAAGAATTTGGATAATGCTTTAAATCACTGACTTCTCATGAAATTACTTTTGAGTGAAATTTGACAAGAATTTTCTTTATACTCTCTTCTTTATCAAAACATGTTGTAAGTCTCCATAGTCCAAAATAATATGTAACCATAGAATGGGGAGAGAACTTTAGTCAAAGACAAACTAAATATTACCTTCCTTGCATAACTCCAACTTGCAGGTGGTATTCGTGTAAAAGTGTAGCCATTGGTTGCCTAACTTTTTGGACAATGGGAAAAAACGCAATAAAAGCTAAAATGTGGTCCAGCATATGAAACTCTTCTCAAAAATAGAAGAAAGTCATGAACATTGTTGGGAAAGTGTTTTACATTTCCAATGAAATTCCATTCCACTGATCTGTTTGGAAGATTGTCTTCAACCTATTTGGCTCTAGCCAAACTGTAATTGATTCAGTAATGTAAAGAGCCACTTTTTTATCTTAAGCTTAGAATTTATAAGAATGGAAAGCAGGAAAGTGGTTTTTCATTTACTCTAATAATTGTGCAGGGATGAGCTAGGGAAAAAATAAAACAAAAAAAGTACCAGTCTTCTGTCCTCTTAAATTATTTTTCATTCTGATTATATTACAAAGAAATGAGCTGTGGAGGTTTGGCACTACTTTCCATCTGAACAGTTGTTCTGTATTCTAAGATTTTATATGTGATTCAGAATGTACTATGATAACAAGACACAGTTTTTATGTATTACTGGAATAATGCAAAGAAAATGAATTTTCCTTTGGATCCAGTAATTGTCAAAGGAATGATTGCAGTTTCAGAAAACGTGCTTTGTAATAACCTTGTTAACATAAAGTATACACTGAGGAAAGAAATAAGTATAGCACGTATATGGAAGGATTAGTTGTATTAGCAAGGCATTTCAGGGGTGGTTGTGATTCTTTAGACTAAGTAAGATACATCCAATTTCGACCCCCTTCAAATTCTTGGACAAATGGGATCACTTGGTAACATAAGAATTGTTTGGTGGGCACCAGTTGATTTTGCAATGTGCTTACAAATGCTCCAATTAGTCAGTAAACTATCCTGCCTGAAAAAAAGGTTTGCTCTGGTAATAAGGCTGATATGCTCAAGCCGTAAGAATTAATTCAAATATCAAAAATGAAATTTAGATTACTAATCATGTACTGTTACAGCATGTAGAATATCAAATGTCCTCTTTTTAAACTAAAGTAAAAAAAATGAAGAAGCATGGTTAATTCACTTGTGCTGAATAAAATGGATGTCCACGTGCAATTTCTGCGTGTGAGCCTCCCCATGCTGCCATGCCACCAGAAGCTTTCCCTTTGCCTTGCTAATCCCGCTAGATGTTTTCCTCGGTAGAATCCTAGCTCATGGGTTTCTATGTGCATGTTTCACTGTAATGAAAACTAACTACAAAATCTAGAAGTTTTCTGCTTTCAGAAAATTCTAGTGTACTAAGTACAGCTTAGCTATTTCTTTTTCAGTTAAAAAATAGTGCAAAAACATATCTGATAGTCAAGGTGATACTTCAAGTGAGTTCTTGTGCCAAGGAACACAATCAAGCTTCTCCTCTAGCTAACTTGTAGAAACTGTACGTAATTTTTGGGAAATATTCCAGATTTTCCCATTAGTTCTCCACTCATCCAGTCATCATCTACAGATTCCAGCTCTGTTATTATATCTCCAGCCTGTAAGACAAAAGGAATTAGAATAATTACTGGTTTCTGTTGAGTATAAGCATGGAAAATAGTGGTCTACCTAGGGCAGCATGAATAATCTTTTCTTTATATAACTCATTTATCTTGATTGCTGAGAGGATTAAATGACAAAGATGATCTATACCTAATGATGCTACTTGCTTGTAGGCCTCTATTCCTTAAATCTCATTCCTTTGCCATTGCCAGCCTTGCTGCACTTTGATTTTCCTGCTTATATTTTGTGCCTCTCAAATCACCACTCCTAATCTAAAATCCCTCTTAAAAAAATAATACTAGTTAACACACACACACAATTATTTATTGAGTACCCATTAAGTGTCAGACACTGTTCTGGGGCACAATTAATATTTCCCCCTTTCTACAATGGGAAAGCAAATAAGCTGGCAGAAGAGGACAGAAAGCATGGGATTGCCAACTCATTAGGGCCATCAGGGAGGGCCTCACAGAAGGTGTCATTTAGGCAAAGACTTGGAGTTGAGTGAGTCATGTGTTTTCTGCATGACTTGTCTTATTCTGTGTACTTCACAGGAACTAACTGAGGTACACAATACCACAGTCCTAGAAATGAGCACTATATTAACATCCTCATTTTATATATATATATATACACACATATACACATATATAAAAATATATAAACATATAAATAAAAAATATATATGTATTTTTTTTTTTTTTTGAGACAGAGTCTTGCCCTATGGCCCAGGTTGGAGTACAATACTATGATCTCGGCTCACTGCAACCTCTGCCGTCTGGGTTCAAATTATTCTCCTGCCTCAGCCTCCTGAATAGCTGGGATTACAGGTGCCTGCCACCATGCCCAGCTATTTTTTGTATTTTTAGTAGAGGTGAGGTTTCACCATGTTGGCCAGGCTGGGCTCGAACTCCTGACCTCGTGATCCAACCACCTTGGTCGAGATATATTTTTATAGATTTCCTTATTTTAGTGGAAAAGAAGCCAAAACTCAGATAGATTATATAACTTGCGACACGTCTAGTTAGTGGTAGAACCAGGATTCAAATCTAGTGTGATTCCAGAGCTTGTATTCCTAACAATTAGACTATGTGGCCGCCACGTTTTACAATGGACCTTTTTACTTAGAAAGGCTTTTACTATAATTGCCTTTTATCATCACCCAGAGCAATTTCACATTCTACATCTATTCTTGCACATAATGGCATTTCCCCTCTACCATACGGTTTATCACATTCCTCCCATGACCCCAGTATCTTTTTTTTTTTGAGACGGAGTCTTGCTCTGTTGCCCAGGCTGGAGTGCAGTGGCACAATCTTGGCTCACTGCAACCTCCACCTCCCCGGTTCAAATGATTCTCCTGCCATGGCCCCAATATCAAATTTGCATTTTTCCCATCTTAACTTCACCTTGACTCAGGACACTGATTTATCTTCATCAGGTTAGTCAAAGGGGCTGTGTGTCTTATTCATGTGCAAATTAGAATTCCTTCAACAGATGAAGACATAACTATTTTGTTCTTTATGGTTTCTAAACATCTCTTAGAATCTGTGTTTAAGATGCTACAATGGTCCAAGATGACTCTGGCTACTGTTAAGAATATCTTTATCAGTCTAAATGTATTTATTTGTAGCCCTGGTACATTACCCTCTGGAAAAAAAAGGCTTGATTTAAGGCTTTCATTTATGGAAAATGGAAAGAAAACATGCTATCAGATGTTGTTAATTTACTCTGCTCTGCTAAAATCTGTAAAAATTCTGGAAATTCAAAGTTTTTGTTATAAATAAGTTACTTTTGGTTCCTAAATTATAATAATAGTTAACTGAAGCTATTTTTTTAGGTATGGTGCAAATCTACATCCCATGTCAGTTTCCTGAGGGCTAGGACTATTTTTAAAAATTAATTTTATCTTTTAACATTCTGTGGATATTTAAGAAAACATTAATGACCAAAAACACTGAAAGCAGTGCAAAATTTCTTAACAGCAACAACAACAAAAATTCTAGAACTATCTTATGGTCAACCATTTGTAGAATTAAATGAAGATAACCTGTTTTCTGGAGGATACTGTGAATTCTGTTATTTATATTGACATAGTTTAAATGAAGACCAAAATAACATCTAAGAAGTTTGAATTCAGTTTCTTCACTGGCAGTAAGTTTATGTAAAGATAAAAGGAATAAATTTTGAGCCACTGACTCTCAAGGACTAAGGCAACAGTTTTATTTTATTTTTTTTAATTTTATTTTAAAGACCAAGATGTGAAAAGAAAAAAAAAGAAACTGATAGAAGGTTATGAATTTTTAATTTTGCACAGCTAGGGCATAAGACGTATCTATCTTTTATGGCTGGGTGCGGTGGCTCATGCCTGTAATCCCAGCTCTTTGGGAGGCTGAGTCAGGCGGATTGCTTTGAGCTCAGGAGTCTGAGATCAGCCTGGGTGAGACCCAGTCTCTACAAAAACTACAAAAAATTAGCCATGCATTGGTGGCTCGAACCTGTAGTCCCAGATACTCAGGAGGCTGAGGCTGGAGAACTGTGTAAGCCTGTGAAACAGAGGCTGCACAGTGAGTCAAGATCGCACCACTGCACTAAAGCCTGGGCAACAGAGTGAGACCCTGTCTCAAAAACAACAACAACAACAAAAGTAAACAAATAAAATAAATATCTAGTATTTGCTAATAATTTATTATTATTATTATTTGAGACAGAGTTTCACTTTTGTTGCCCAGCCTGGAGTGCAATGGCTGATCTTGGCTCACCACAACCTCCGCCTCCCGGACTCAAGTAATTCTCCTGCCTCAGCCTCCCGAGTAGCTGGGAGTATAGGCATGCACCACCACGACCAGCTAATTTTTTGTATTTTTAGGAGACAGGGTTTCTCCATGTTGATCAGGCTGGTCTCGAACTCCCAGCCTCAGGTGATCCACCTGCCTCAGCCTCCCAAAGTCCTGGGACTACAGGAGTGAAATATGACTGAAAATTTTAATTACATTATCCCCCTTTACTCCCACAAAGGCTGCACATACCTGATTCATGTATTGCCTTGTTTTCATTTTTTGTTATTGTTGAGATAGGGTCTTGCTATGTTGACCAGGCTAGTCTTAAACTCCTGGCCTCAAGTGATCCTCCCGCCTTGGCTTCCCAAAAGTGTTGGAATTAGAGGGGTGAGCCACTGTGCTCGGCCTTTTTCTTATCTTGTTGTAGGCAAGTGAAAACTCTGTTTGGTTGTCCACTGTTTTAAACCACATCTTGTCCAATCATTCCTTGATATGTTAATTCTCTCCATAGCATCCTTGCCTCAGACTGAATCGTTTCAATGGTAGAGAATTTACCACTGTCTGACAGAGACTATTTTGACAGCAGTGACTACTAAAACCACCCACCTTCTTCTATCACCGTTCCCAAAGTGCTTTCCTCTGACTATCGTCCAGTTGTAGATTAGGGAAAGAGAATCATGAAAATTTTCTTTTACTTTAAGAAAAAATTAGGCATTTCTTCGGTGAAAAAAAATTTGCAAAGTAGCTCAACCTTTTGGGACTATTTCCCCAAAGCTCTGGTCAGTGCCTTTGTGGACAAGAATTCAGTGTCTTATAAGGCTACTATGCTACTAGTGCAAATTGTAGCAGGTGCTATCTGATTCTCCATCAATTTCAAGGACATGTCAGTGGCAGGCTGGGAGGGCCACGTAGATGGACATTTGTTAACAGGCTACTAATAAAAATCCCAGTATTACTGAGATCTGATGATGTAAGACCAAGGAACAAGGGATTACTTTGGGGATGTATGGGGTTGTTAAGCCAAGGTTTTCTCTAAGTACCGTAATGCCTGGTTGATAACGTAAATTAACAGGCCTATTTGTACTATTCACTTTCTATAATCTCTTCACTTTGAATTAGGGTCTGAGATCTCTTCATTCTTGAGTAATGATCAATATTCCACTCAAATGTTCCATCCTTCAATGGAAGACATTTCAAAAATTACAGTGCTTAATGCAGTTATGAAGAGATACACATTCTGACCTTGAAGGAAAGCTCATCTTCATTTTCTCCTCGGAAATCATATAAGGCTTTGGCCTTCCTTCCCTTCAGTATGATGGCCGATGTACTTTTTGCCTCAGCTGTGAAAACATCAAAAATTCAAATACACAGAAACACAGTGGACTATAACACAAATCTAACATTTAAAAAAAAAACCCTTGTCACTCTAAAAAGAGAATATTTTCTCTTCAGAGCTAGCGATATTAGGCAAAGAAAAACTTTTTATTTTTTATTTTATTTTGAGATGGAGTCTGACTCTGGAGCTCAGGATGGAGTACAGTGGCATGATCTCGACTCACTGCAATCTCTGCCTCCCAGATCCCAGTTCAAGCAATTCTCCTGCCTCAGCCTCCTGAGTAGCTGGGATTACAGGCATGCACCACCACGTCCAGCTAATTTTTGTATTTTTAGTAGAGATAGGGTTTCACCATGTTGCCAGGTGGTCTTGAACTCCTGACCTCATGATCTACCCACCTCGGCCTCCCAAAGTGCTGGGATTACAGGCATGAGCCACCGTGCCTGACCAAGAAAAGCTTTTTAAAAAGCAGAATATTTTCACTTAATTTTGAACTTATGTAACTTTCAAAAAGATGAACAATGTTCTCTCATCAGTGAAAAATTACATAAACTCTATTTATTAGATGGAATTAGCCATTATTTAGTGAAGACATTTATATCTTTTTTTCTATAACTCTAACAAAGTATATAACTTTGTTATATACTTTTTGTAATATAACTGTGTAACTTCATAAATCAACCCTTTCAAATATAGACAGACAAACTGAGTATGGCCAGAGGGGAAAGGAATGTATATAGTTTTGAGGGTCTCGGGCTCCCCGTGAGAAGTAGCAATCATGTCTTGCAGTTGTCATACCTGGGCAGGGCCTCACAAACACTGTTGGGAAGATCCCCTCCCTGTCTTGCAGTCTGCCCCTGCACCAGTCAGAATCCACACGTTCCAGAATCTGGATCCGGTCTCCCCTCTTGAAGGATAAGTCATCACTGGTCTCTGCTGTAAAACTGTGAAGAGCTTCACACCATTCTGCAGAAAGACTGCTAACCTGTTATCAATTAGATGTGTGGTCAGAAATGCAAGATTTTATTTAAAATTGAGTTCTACAAAGCTTAAAAAGAAGTGGGAAAAAAACCAAAAAACTAAGGGGTCCTAAGATTTCACAGCCTGAAGGCTTCTTTAAATTTTCTAATACTTTATGTTGCTATCAAGTTTCAGAAAGAAAAGTTTCCAATAATTTTTCTTAAATTCTAATTCTAAATGACAAGCATGATGGAATTTGTGGCTTTTCTGCTTTTAAGAGATGTACATTGCTTAAGCAAACACTGTTTTCCTTTCCTTTTCTTTTTTTGAGACAAGTTCTTATTTAGTCACCCAGGCTGGAGTACAGTGGCAGAATCAGAGCTCACTGCAGCCTTGACTTTCTGGGTTCAGGTAATCCTCTCTCCTCAACCTCCTGAGTGGCTGGGACTACAGGTGAGCCACCACACCTGGCTATTTAATTTAATTTAATTTTTGCAGAGATGAGGTCTTACTATGTTGCCCAGGCTGGTCTCGACCTCTTGGGCTCAAGCAATCATCCCATCCTCCCAAAGTGCTGGGATTATAGGCAGGATCCACCTCATCCAGCCAAAAAAAGTTTTTCTTAATATGACCTATTATATTAGTTACATTAAATAGTTAGGTAAAAGCATAAAATATTTATGCATAGTATTTAACACTATGAAAAAATTCTGACAAAATATCTAATTTTCACGGAAGTTCTTCTTTATTTAAATCAGGAAGGATCAGAATGGGTAGTCTATTAATTTCCAGGTCTCTACTTGATTCATAGACTATTAGATTTCATAGCATAGGACTTCAGTAATTCACACTTTTTTTTTTTTTTGAGACAGAGTCTCGCTCTGTTGCCATACTGGAGTGCACTGGCACGATCTTGGTTCACTGCAACCTCCACCTCCCAGGTTCAAGCGATTCTCTTGTCTCAGCCTCCACAGTAGCTAGGACTACAGGCATGGGCCAACACACCTGGCTAATTTTTGTATTTTTAGTAGATATGGGTTTTCACCATACTGGCCAGGCTGGTCTCAAATTCCTGACCTAAGGTGATCCGCTCACCTCAGCCTCCCAAAGTGCTGGGATTAGAGTCATAAGCCACGATGCCCAGCCTCACACTGTAAATTTTATGAGGTGTAGTTAATTCTGAGATTGGCAGGATAATACCCAGACATGGTGGGCTAGTGTAAGAACACTTTTATCCCAGGCACATTAGAGGAAGATTTTGATCTGTAAAGAGGCAGCTCTGCCAAGTTGGGATTGGAACCCTATGTTCAAGAGGCTCAAGCAGGCAGTAGAGAATAATGAAAAGGACAAAGACGTTTTTCATTTTTTTTTTTTCCCTGAGATGGAGTCTCGCTCTGTCGCCCAGGCTTAAGGGCAATGGTGCAATTTTGGCTCAATGCAACCTCTACCTCCCAGGTTCGAGTGATTCTCCTGCCTCAGCCTCCTGATTAGCTGGGACTACAGGTGTGCACCACCACTCCCAGATAATATTTGTATTTTTAGTAGAGATGGGCTTTCACCATGTAGGCCAGGCTGGTCTTGAACTTCTGGCCTGAAGCCATCCACCTGCCTCAGCCTCCCAAGCTACTGGGATTATAGGCGTGAGCCACTGTGCCTGGGCAGGACAAAGGCTTTGGAGCTAGACAGGTAAGGGTTCCAGACCCAGTTCTGCCACTCCTTAGTTATGTGACACTGGGCAAGACCCTTCTCTTCTCTGAGACTCAGCTTTATCTTAGGGTTACTAAGAGGATTAAATGAGACAATGCATGTGTAACATTTAGCCCAGTGCCTGGTATATCTTAAGTTCTCAGTAACTGAGGGCTTACAGAACAAAAAACAAAAAGCAAGCAAACAGCACTAACTTTGCCTTCTTGCTCCTGTACTTGAGTAACTATCCCTAAAGGATGGAACTTATTCCCCCAAAATGCAGGCAACAACCATGTGAACATTTCCTTTTGGAGAACGATAGTCAGTTTCTTTCCTGTTTCACTTTATCAGTAGGTAGGAACAAAAGAATTAAGAGACACACAGGCCAATTACAAGTGATATTTTCACAAACACAATGATCCCATCAGGCTTAAATCTTTCAAATTTGTCACAAAAAGCAATAGAAGGCCGGATGTCATAGATCATCCCCGTAATCCTAGCACCTTGGGAGGCTGAGACAGGTGGATTGCTTGAGCCCAGGAGTTTGAGACCAGCCTGGGCAAGTGAGATCCTATCTACAAAAAATATAAAAATTAGCTAGGAGTGGTGGTGTGTGCCTGTCATGCCAGCTACATGGGATGATAAGGTGGATTGCTTGAGCCTGGGAAGCAGAGGTTACAGTGAGCTGGGACCTTGGCCACTGCACTCAGTCTGGGCATCAGTCTCAAAAAAAAGCAAAGAACAAAAACCTAAAAAACAACAGAAGGCACCACATTCCTAGTACCCCCCCCCCCTTTTTTTTTTTTTTTGAGACGGAGTTTCGCTCTGGTTACCCAGGCTGGAGTGCAATGGCGCGATCTTGGCTCACCACAACCTCCATCTCCTGGGTTCAGGCAATTCTCCTGCCTCAGCCTCCTGAGTTGCTGGGATTGCAGGCATGTGCCACCGTGCCCAGCTAATTTTTTGTATTTTTAGTAGACACGGGGTTTCACATGTTGACTAGGATGGTCTCGATCTCTTAACCTCGTGACCCACCTGCCTCGGCCTCCCAAAGTGCTGGGATTACAGGCGTGAGCCACCGCACCCAGCCCCCTAGTACCTTTAAGCACTTCTGGAGTCATGTTATACAGTGTAAAAATTTTAACCCACTGTTTTTCTCTTTCTCATATACAAATGAAATAAATGTTCCTAAATATCTGGAAAGTTGAGAGATGTATAAAGAAGTGGGGGTGGCTGGGCTCAGTGGCTCACGCCTGTAATCCCAGCACCTTGGGAGGCTGAGGCAGGTAGATTACGATGTCAAGAGATCGAGATCATCCTGACCAACATGGTGAAACCCCATCTCTACCAAAAATAAAAAAATTAGCTGGGCATGGTGGCACTACTGGGCATAGTCCCAGCTACTCAGGAGGCTGAGGCAGGAGAATCACTTGTATCCAGGAGGCAGAGGTTGCAGTGAGCAGAGATCACACCATTTCACTCCAGCCTGGCAACAGAGTGAGACTCAAAAAAAAAAAAAAAAAAAGTAGAGGGAAAAAAACCTACCCATGTATGTAATCTTACTACTTACATGCAATTTAATACTAATAACTTGAATAATTTTCTTCCAGTCTTTTTATGCTATATATTTGATTTTATATCCCCTTTCCCTGTAACGTGTTTCCTCTTATGATATTTTAAATTATTATTTTATTTAGGCTGGGCATGGTGGCTCATGCCTGTAATCCCAGCACTTTGGGAGGCCGAGGCAGGCAGATCACAAGGTCAGGAGTTTGAGACCATCCTGGCTAACATGGTGAAACCCCGTCTCTATTACAAAAAAAAAAATTAGCCGGGCATGGTGGCACATGCCTGTAGCTACTCGGGAGGCTGAGGCAGGAGAATCGCAGTGAGCCAAGATCACACCACTGCACTCCAGCCTGGGTGACAGAGTGAGACTCTGTCTCAAAAAAAAAACTATTTTATTTTATAAATCTAATTTCATAGCTTCAGAACATTCTCCCAGTAATGGTCATATTTAGGTTGTTTCCAATTTTTTCCTTGGATACTAGCGCTATGCCCATCTTTGTGACTCAAACCCTATCTCATTTTTTGTCCTTTTCTTAGGGTAATAAATAATAATGTGTACTTTCTCTCTCTCTTTTTAACATTCACATGCTTACAATTGCTTGTTTAGTGTTGAGCTGCACTGAATCTTTAACTGAATAGGTTAAATGGTATTTTATTGCTGCTTTATTATATATTTTCTTGATTACTAGAAAGGTTAAATATTTTTTCAATATTAGCCACTTATTGTATCTCTTTAATGAATTCTCCAATCATGTCTCTTTTTTCATTTCATTTTTTTTTGTTTTTTGAGATGGAGTCTTGTTCTGTCACCCAGGCTAGAATGTGGTGGTTAGATCTTAGCTCACTGCAACCTCCACCACCTGGGTTCAAGCTGTTCTCCTGCCTCAGCCTCCCAAGTAGCTGGAACTACAAGTGTGTGCCAACATGCCTGGCTAATTTTTGTATCTTTATTAGAGATGGGGTTTTACCAAGTTGGCCAGGCTGGCCTTGAACCCCCGACCTCAGGTGATCCAGCTGCCTTCGTCTCTCAAAGTGTGGGGATTACAGGCATGAACCACTGCACCCAGCTTCTATTTTCATTTTCTATCAGGGTTCGCATGTCTTTGAATGAGCTCTCTATATAAAATGTTAACCATCTATTTATTACAAATATTAGTTATATGAATTGAAAAATTAATTCATACTATATTCTCTTGATAATTATTATTTTAGTATTCCTCCTAGAGTTTGGACCTGGCTGTCACTATAGTGATCTGTTGAAACAGCCTACCTGAGAGTTTGAGCCAGCATCTTCTTTTTTGGTTTTTGGTGGTACCTTTGTGCCTACATTAAAAAAACACATACACACAAGAAGTCAGAACATCAGATGTGAAGCCCATATAGTATTAGAAATAAATGGTTGGGGTGGGTGGTGGGAGTGAAGAGTCTGGGATTCCACACCAGTCTCTTCATAGATTGCCTATGTTGCCTCAACCTGTACTACCCTCACTGAGCTTGTTTAGTTAATTGTAAACACAATTACTGTCTTTATACATTAGTAATAATCTATAGTTCATTTCTGTTTAAAACTCTTTGCTATTCATTCATTTATTTATTAGAAACAGAGTCTGGTTTGTTGCCTAGGCTGGAATGTAGTGGTACAATCATAGCTCACTGTAGCCTCGAACTCCTGGTCTCAGGCAATCTGCCCACCCTGGCCTCTCAAAGTGCTGGGATTATAGGTCTGAGCCACTGCACCCAGCCCTTTTGCCATTTCTTTTATGAAGCTATTGCCAGTTAGCTAAAATACTAAAACCAGCTCTTTGAGAGATGACTACAAATAATGTCTATCCCACACAAATTTCCATTTTAAATCAGTTTTCCTTCTATGTTAACAATATGGCAATATGGATTATTACACAGCTTAAATATAATGCTATTATTTGGTTTATTTGAATTAGGACACGACATAATAAAAAAAATTCTCTATACTCACTTAAAACATTTGCACCAGAGGTGAGATAATCCTCAACAGGCTCCACAAAGTTCAGGGGGAAAATCCCAGTTCTGCCTTGAACTTCTCCTCTCGCCCATTCCTCATTCACATACTCTTTAAGAATAATAATTTCTCCCTCTGAGAAACTCAACTCATCCTTCTGCTCTCCAATATATTCAAACCGAGCAACACATCTTAAGCCTCTGAACAAAGAACACATTTTGTGGGTTAGACTAGACAGTGCTTTTAAATGCTTAAAAACCTTCCTCCAGTCTTTCAATAAATATTTATTCTGTGTTTACTATGGAATAAGGTATACTAGGCTAATTTGAAAATATTCCATGAAAAAGAGTAAGTTAAACTTTCAAATAACAGATATGAACCTATTCACTCAGAAAGGCTTAAAGCTCAAGGTCTCAGAGTGCACACAGCTGGGTGGTTGGTTTACCCTACTATGTCTTTTGATCATCTTACTCCCCAGTCTCCCTATCTTTGTATCTTGGGCCATAGCAATCTATGGTCCAGTCTGAACCCTTTCAATCATGAATGCAGTGAGTCAAGGACTGCTAACCCTGAGAATCTCAGGGCAATTCATCAAATTTCCTGACTATGAATCAGGGCAGATGCAATGGGCATCAGCTGGGCAGAGTAGATGCTCAATAGATGCTGTATCAATTAGTGAGTTGGCCTTAAATACTAGGAGAAGGTAAAAAAAAAAAAACAAAACGCAGAAACTTGGCATATCATAACACACAGTCTTGGACCCAACTCTGTTTCCTTTAAAAATGATTTTTATATGTCCTTTAAAAGGGCTTCATTTCTGACTCTTGGAACAATCCTTACATGATCTGAAATTTTGACTGAAAATAAGATAAAAGTAGAGATAAAATTGTGTCTCTAGAAGGTATGCTTTAATATTAAACCCTAGATTTGAGGGTTTAGAAAGAAAGTTTCAATAGCAACAGGCTAAGGAGAAGCACTACCTAAAGAGAAAAGGTTGATTCTAGCTCCAACAGAATTCTGATTTAAGTCAGATCAATGGGTCAATGACTGTAAAAGCCCACTCAAATTCAACCTGCTGAGACACAGTATATGCTGCTTAAAAATAGAGAAAAACTGAACCTGAAATAGAATTCAACTACTGTGGATCACAAGTTTTCTTATTTGTGATAACCTTTGCATTTGTTTTCTAAAGTCCTCTGGGAGCATCTCCTTATGTCTGACCTATTCATAGACAGGTTTACAGTCTTCAGCAGGTAATGAGTTCTATTAATTTGCTCATTAACTAGAATATAAAGTTGCATTGTGGCAGTGTTTTAAATCACAAAGGAGTTACAATGATGTTTAAAAGGGTATATAAATTCAGGGAAAGTCCTCAGAGATAAAGGAAAACCCCTTCAACTTAACTCTTCCTTCACTTTTTTCTAGTTCCTCTTAAAAACAAAAAAAATACAAAATGTCTAGCAGTTTTTGTCAGATTCATATTCCTATAGGATTTAATTATTTCCCATAACAAAATTACTTGAACCTTCTAAAAACTTGGTAGATAAACACCAGAAGGCCAAAATAAAATGCAGTAAATGATGAAACTCTCTGCTCAGCCTAAGGCTAGGCTGCAGGAAGCATTGGCATAGACTGCTTTGCTGCTTTCTCCATGTCCTGCACTGATGTGGAGAGTTGCTTAGGTAAGCTTCTATCAACATGTTCATAATGCATTTTCATCGGAATTTTAACCCATTGTCACCTTTTAAACAAGTTTTCTTTGTAATTAAAAAGACACTGAGAATCTGAATAATCACCTATGTGAAGTATTTTCTTTTTAAATAATAAATAAATAAATAATAGAGACAGGTTCTCGCTATGTGGCTAGTCTTGAACTCCTGGCCTCAAGCAATCCTCCCATCTCAGCCTCCCAAGGTATTGGGATACAGGTGTGAGCCACCACGCCCGGCCTTGGAGTGTTTTAAGCTTGATAATTCTTCAAGATATAGATGGTTATCTCCTTTGTATTTTGTGCAAAAGAACATAAATATAACTTACTTAACACAATGAGATGAAACAAGTTCTCTTTTTCCATTTCCTCCTTCTGGAATATCAATCTAGTAAAGAAAATCAAGCCAACAATTATGTTTCTTCAGATTTTCATAAGATAAATTTAATGTAAGTAATTAGAAAGTAAATGACTGAAATCAATTAGTTTAGCTAGGTGTTAATCTAATTAAGAGGAACCATAGGTGCTAAATGGTAAAAAATCCTGAATTTGGACAAAAAAAAAAAAAAAAAAAAAAAAGGATAACTTGCGAAGTAGCCTTCCTTGAGTACCCAATCAATTATCTTATTTGCTGAAATAAGCACATTAGTATCACTCTAATTCTGACTGAATTTTCTCTCTCCCATTTTTTTTTTTTGAGACAGGGTCTTACTCTGTCACCAAGGCTGGAGTGCAGTGGCACAATTGGAACTCACTGTAGCCTTGATCTCCCAGGCTCAAGTGATCCTCCTGCTTTAGCTCCCCAAGTAGCTGGGAGTACAGGTGTATACCACCACAACCAGCTAATTTTTGTATTTTTAGTAGAGACAGGATTTCACCATGTTGCCCAGGCTAGTTTTGAACTCTTGGACTCAAACAATCTGCCTGTCTTGGCCTCCCAAAGTGCTGGGATTATAGATGTGAGCTGCCATGCCCAGCCAGCTCTATCCCATATTCTCCAGGTTGAAAACTGGAGCTGAGAAGGACTTAAGATAGAAATCAGGCATCAGGCATTCACAGTGCCACACATTAGCTCTACCACACCTACTCCAAGGGTTGGCAGAATCCTGAAATACTTCTCTGACCCCAAGATAAAACATTTCAATAAAACTTGTGGATTCTTGGGCCAGGTATGGTGGCTCATGCCTGTAATCCTGGCACTTTGGGAGGCCAAGGCGGGTAGATCACCTGAGGTCAGGAGTTTGAGATCAGCCTGGACAACATGGTGAAACCCTGTCTCTACTAAAAGTAGAAAAATTAGCTGGGCATGGTGGCTGGCACCTGTAATCTCAGTTACTTGGGAGGCTGAGGCAGAACTGCTGGAACCTGTGGGGTGGAGGTTGCAGTGAGTCAAGATTGTGTCATTGCACTCCAGCCAGGGCAACAACAGTGAGACTCCATCTCAAAAAAACAAAACAAAAAAACCCTGTGGATTCTCCTTCACATTTATAATTGGAACGTTTTTCCCCTTCCGCAATAAATAGGGAAGGAAGAAAGGAATACGTATTTAGCAACCATCTACTAAGTGGCAAGCACTTTATTTTATTTTATTTATTTATTTTTTGAGTCAGGGTCTTACTCTGTTGCCCAGACTAGAGTGCAGTGGCACGATCATGGCTTACTGCAGACTCGCCCTCCCTTACTCACGCCATCCTCCCACTTCAGCCTCCCAAGGTGGCTGGGACTATAGACTGGTGACCCCATGCCCAGATCATTTTTCAATTTTTTGTGGGGACAGGGTCTCAAAATGCTGTCCAGGCTGGTCTTGCATTCCTGAGCTCAAGTAATCCTACTGCCTCAGCCTCCTAAAGTGTTGGGATTACAGACATGAGTCACTGTGCCCAGCCAAGCATTTAATATAATATTTCATTTACAAGGCTCAGTAGAGGAAGGCTGGGTTGCAATAAAATATTTGGCCATAATGCATGCAATCTAAAACGACTTAAAGCGTTGAAGTTTACATTAAATAAATCAGTGCTCTTCTTGATGAATTCTAAGGGTTTGAAGTTCTAAAATAATTTTTTAAACTTGTGGGCTTAGAAATAACACTTATATCAATAATGTGGCAGATTCTGTGTGACTGATTTCAGTGTGGTAACTGTGCTTTTTAAAGTACTGCTACATTGGGCAGAAGAAAAATGAGGAAGAGTGCTAAAACAAACATTATTCTTAATATTAATTTAGAGAATGTGGTTGAATTTCTCCAAAGAATTAGGGCATAGATATACTGGACAATTTTTAAGACCTACCCTTCATAATCCAAGAGACTCAAACTCCTTTCTATTTGAAAAATACGGATTTCCTGTTAGTCTTGCTTTCTAAGGTAATAGATTTTTTTTTTTACTTTTTTCCTTCCAAATAAGCTGTTAAGCTAGGTTTATTGCTATTTCACAGTATCAATAAGTTATATGAGGGACTGACTCATTCTCTTCCAATTGATACAAATATGTGAGGGCAGTCTGATTTTATTCCCATGTTTCACAGCCATCTGGGCTTACATACAGCTCCCTCACACAGAAATGTTTTCACAAGTTAGGCTGTGAGGGCATATAAAATTCTAGAGCTTTGATATAATTTTTCTAATCAGATTAGAAATTATTTTGTGGATACAACCATAATGAACCACTATCTCCAATACAAATACTTCTGCATTCCCAAATTGATTTTTTTAAAAGATGGAGACAGATAGGAATGGAAAAGAAGAAAGAAACCCAAACCAAAATGTACTCCAAAGAAAAGCAGTGGTACCATAACCTCAGAGAACATCTCTACAGGGTAATCTAGCATCATTCAATTCATGTTTTACTAAATGTCTCAAAGAATTACTATATATCCTTAAGTGCTTAACAATCCTCCAAGAACAGCTGATTCACCAGCTGACTTGTGGTGGTCTTTCACTTTAATATTTCAGACAGCATTTAGGCATTAAGTTCTAACACTCCATAAGGGAATAATTAACCATCACCTACTTGATCAAATCTTTATTTCTGAATTTTCCAAATGCCAAATGAATCCATGAAAGCAGGATAACTCAAATCTGGGTTTCTAATTATTTTTTCCAACCTGTAAGTCACACAGACTTATATGACTGAGTATATGACTAAATTAAAACAAGCACGACCCACTTACAATGACTTTGACATAGTTGGCAGGAAATATGCCAGTCTGGTTTCTGCAGTTCCCTCTGTACCAGTCTGTATCTATCTTCTCCAGAAGATAAACAATTTCTCCAGAAGTGAGGTTCAAATCATCAACTTCCTCTGTAATATAAAATTATAGTTATGTTTGATGAATTATCCTGGTTGCAGATTTGATTAAAGCACAAAGTAGCATTTAGTTGTGTCCACTGAGGCAGTAATGTTCCACTGATTCTGAGAACAGATCATACTAATCAAATTGACTAAAAACTGCTCTTCTTATTTTGGATATTGTTATGAGCTCCCTTTTTGAAGACCAAATTAGATATAGTTACCATGCTTTGATTGATGGGAAACGACTGGAAAAAACACTATTGTGTTAACAAATGTTTCCTACTGTGCCAATATAAACCCTTGCTGAATATACACTGAACAATGAAACAAGTTTATAGACATGGTATAATTTTATTATTCTCAATCATGCTTAAAAATCATTTTAATTTCAAATATTAACTAAGGGAGTACTATAACTCTTTAGTGAATGTTTACCTATGCTAAAATAAAAATCAGTCTATCAAGTGGATAAGAGATTGTAAGTAAATCAGGAGTTTATTTGTAGCATTGGATATGAAGGGTATTTTAAAATTATTGTAAAAGTATTTATGGCCAGGTGCGGTGGCTCATGCCTGTAATCCCAGCACTTTGGGAGGCCGAGGCGGGTGGATCATGAGGTCAAGAGATCGAGACCATCCTGGTCAACATGGTGAAACCCCATCTCTACTAAAAATACAAAAAATTAGCTGGGCATGGTGGCACACACCTGTAGTCCCAGCTACTTGGGAGGCTGAGGCAGGAGAATTGCCTGAACCTAGGAGGCGGAGGTTGCGGTGAGCCGAGATCGCGCCATTGCACTCCAGCCTGGGTAACAAGAGCGAAACTCCGTCTCAAAAAAATAAAATAAAAGTATTTATATTTTAGCTGAGCATGGGTGGCTCATGCCTGTCATCTCAGCACTTTGAGAAGCTAAGGTGGGAGGATCACTTGAGACCAGGAGTTCAAGACCAGCCTGGGCAACAGAGCAAGACCTTGTCTCAAAAAAAAAAAAAATATTATTTTGATCTCATAGGTAAGTAGCAGCTGAAATAACTCTAAGGACAAAAGAACTTCAATTATTAAGTTAGAATTAACTTTATTACAGTTGTTTTTATTTTTTTGAGAGATGGTTTTGCTCTTGTTGCCCAGACTGCAATGGTATAATCTCAGCTCACTGAAACCCTCCCAGGTTCTCCTGACTCAGCCTCCCAAGTAGCTGGGATTACAGGCATGTGTCACCACTTCCGGCTAATTTTTTGTATTTAGTAGAGATGGGGTTTCACCATGTTGGTCAGAATGGTCTGGATGCCTGACCTCAGGTGATCTACCCGCCTTGGCTTCCCAAAGGGGTGGAATTATGGGTGTAAGCCACCATGCCCATCTGTATTACAATTGTTAATTAGTACCCACTATTTTGAAAGAGTTAAAGTTTGAGACTGGTAGGCAATTTGCAATGTTCATTCGTAAGGGAAAGTCTCTCTCTCTCTTTCTCTTTCTCAGGGAGCTTCAAAGGCAAGGGTATACATATACAACTAAGCTTTCTGGAATGGTTGGGTGCAATCAACTTTTCTTGAAGTGGAGTCCTAGATAAGATGACCTCTCCAGTCTAGGACTCTACAGGCACAGAAAATGAAGAAGGATATCCTTGAGAGGCAACTCCAGGGCAGGGAGGAAGCCTTACTCCTGGATTCTATGATTCTCCCACTGTATTATCTATGTCCTTACCTGCTGGGAAATCATGAAGAACGACAGCATGAGGAGCACCACTGTCAACAGGCTTCTGAGCATGGCTTGGATCCTTAGGGGGGAAAACAGGGCTGTGAATGAAGTGTGCAGGATAGATGGTGGATTTATTATTCACTCTGAAACCAATTTTTTTTTCTCATTAGAGTCCTCTTGACACAATTACATTATGAGTACAAGATGCAAATCACACAGTTGAGCCAAACAAGGGAATCATTATCAAGCTGAAGAAGAATGTGTCCTTGCCAAGGGAGGATGAAAATAATTCTCAATTAAAATATCCCCCAGTATGTTTTGTTTTTGCTTTTTTTTTTTTTTTTTTTTTTTGAGATGGAGTTTCGCTCTTGTTACCCAGGCTGGAGTGCAATGGCGCGATCTCGGCTCACCGCAACCTCTGCCTCCTGGGTTCAGGCAATTCTCCTGCCTCAGCCTCCTGAGTAGCTGGAATTACAGGTACGCGCCACAGTGCCCAGCTAATTTTTTGTATTTTTAGTAGAGACGGGGTTTCACCATGCTGACCAGTATGGTCTCGATCTCTTGACCTCATGATCCACCTGCCTCGGCCTCCCAAAGTGCTGGGATTACAGGCGTGAGCCACCGCGCCCGGCCTGTTTTTGCTTTTTTAAACTGAGAGAGTACAACAAAAGAGAACTGTTTATTTTTAAACAGTACCTATTCTACCCCAAAGTAGTGGTTTTTGACCTCTTTCCCTTTCAAGGATAGCTTTTTTCTTAAAACTGTGATTAAGACTAAACCTTAAGAACAGAGTCCTAAAAGCTGTGTCTTTATTAGGATGGGAAAAAAAGAAAGTTCTATGATTTATGTTCTTGCCTTTTGTAATGAAAGGAGCTAATGACTTTACACAAAAGTATAATTCATAAAAGTAAAATCCATTTCATTTATTACTTCTTAACTAAGTGCTTTTTCTAATTTGAAAGCAATGCCACCTCCCAAACCTGGTCTGCATTTTGTATTTAATCTGAATGGTTTATTCAACAGTAGTTCTAAATAAATTAGCAAAAAGAATCTAACATTCTCTATCCATCTAGCCAATTGCCTAGATTGGCCAGAGGAGAGAAGGCAAAGCCAAAAAGTAACCTCTTCTTATTGACTAGTGATTGTTATTCTTAGTTTCTTTATATGAAGAGACAGGCTTATCCACATCATCATCAAATCATACTGAAGGATATTATTTGGAGTTATAACTTAACCCTCTTCAATACTGGCAAAACTTGTAAAATAAGTAAAGGCAGATTTTTGTGCCCTTTCTTGTGTCTTCACCTCCTCTATTAACTCTTGTCCCCTTAGGAACATCTATACCTCTGCCCTTCCCCTGGCCATGGTGCACCAGCCTGATCAGAGTACACTCTGAACGATGGTCCACTTTCTCCATTTCAACCCTGAAGCACCTTTGCTGAGGTCTTTTTCTAAATGTCACCTGTTCTTTCAACCAAAATGCCCCTGCAGAAACAAAACTTTAATTCTCTCAAGTTAGCTAAACTGAAATATAAATTAAGACACTAATGGCTAATAATTGCTTACTATATTAGCTTACCAAGATAACCCTAACATTTTTCTCACGTACTGCTTAATGCTTTTCTCTAAATAAATGAGCAACATGGAAACTTCATGAATTCTGAGATATTTTAGGTCTGATGTGGCTTTTTTTTTTGACACAGGGTCTTGCTCAGTTGCCTAGGCTGTAGTGTAGTGGCACAATCACGGCTCACTGCAGCCTTGACCTCCAGGGCTTAAAGTTATCCTCCCACTTCAGTCCCCAAGTAGCTGGCACTACAGATGTGCACTACCATACCTGGCTAATTTTTGTATTTTTGTAGAGAAGGGGTCTCCCTGTGTTGCCCAGACTGGTCTCAAACTCCTGGGCTCAAGTGATCCACCCGTCTTGGCCTTCCAAAGTGCTGTGATTATAGGCTTGAGCCACTGTGCCTGACCTGGAGAGGCTTTTAATAATCATTCAGCATGGGTAACATAGTGAGATGCCGTATCTACAAAAATAAAAAATTACTGGGGCATGGTGATATACCCCATGGCCTCAGTTATTAGGGATGCAGAGGTGTGAGGATCTCTTGAGCCCAGGAACTCAATGCTGCAGTGAGCTATGACTTTGCCACTACACTCTGATTTGGATGACCGAGTGAGACTCTCTTTAAAAAAAAACTTAAAAAAATGAATGATTATTTACATGTTGTATTATACATGTGCATGCATGATTTTTGTTTTTTTTCTGATTTACATCTATGGAGAAAAAGAAATGACTATTCAATAAATGGTATCAGGCTAGATGGCTATCCATTTGGAAAAAATGATGTCAAAGACCTTCCACACACCAAACACAAACATGAATCTCCAAATGGATCAGAGACCTAAACATAAACCAAGCCAGGGAGGGAGGGGATAATTTGTGGCTACTGACCACACACTTTCCCTTCTCTGCCTTCAATGTATAAATATCACGGGCAATGCTGCTCATCAACCCGGTCCAGCAGGTGGAGGGCAAGAGGAACAGGCTAGACAGGGATACCAACAAGGAGTCCATACAGACCATACAACTGGAGTGGGTATCTGGCAGGTAAATATAATATAATGCAAAGGTCTTTCTAATATGACTGCAACTGCTAATACAAATGGTTTTGTAATATTAAGAATAGCTAATATTTACTGTTAATTCACTATGTGCTACTCACTGTGTTAAATACCTTATGTGCGTTAGTTCATTTGTCAACCATCTATGAGATATAATCCATATACAATGAAATTCGCCCACTGAAAGTGAACATGGCTTTAGTATATTCATCGAATTATCCAACCATTACCATAACCCAAGTTCAGAACATTTTTATCACTCCCCAAAGAAACCTCCTACTAATTAGGTGTCACTACCCATTACCCTCCCCTCAGCCCTAGGCAACTGGTAGTCTACTTTCTGTCTCTATGGATTTCTATTCTGGACCTTTACACAAATAAAATCATATAATCTGTCAACTCTGAAGACAACTGTGTGGGCAGTTATCTCACACATTAAAAAGTAAAGTTGAGAGAAGTTAAATAACCACCAAAGAAGGTGGAAGGGGAACTGAATCTAACTTCCCTAAACCCAGGTCTGGGGTGTCAACCAGGTACCAGGCAACAACCTTCCACTTTCCCATGATCCGTCTGATTCAACCACAACTGGTCACATTCATGCAATATTTTCTGTTTGCCAAGTTAGAGGAAAGTACAACACATTTGTAGAGACATTTATCTTAAAACTAGGCTTTCAAATAGGTAAATTTTGCTTTTTAAAAAATATAGTAATAGCCATGAATTCAGAAGCATAAAAGAGGATTCATTTTATTATCACCAATAGCTGGCCATTGGAGGTCAACTCTCTGCAAGTCTATAGTAAAAGATGAGAAGGTGGTGTTTAAAGTGGAAAGAACTTTACACTGATATAAAAGAATAACTTTTGGCTGGGCATGGAGGCCCATACCTGTAATCCAAACACTTTGGGAGCCCCATGAAGGCAGATGGCTTGATCCCAGGAGTTTCAGACCAGTCCTGGCAACATAGCAAGACCCTGCCTCTACAAAAAAATTTAAAACTTAGCCAGGCATGGTGGTGCATGCCTGTAGTCCCACTTACTCAGGAGGCTGAGTTGGGAGGACTGGTTGAGCTAGGAAGGTCAAGGCTGCAGTGATCATACTACTGCACTTCAGCCTGGCCAACAGAGTGAGACCTTGACTCAAAAAAAAATTCTATTTTTGTTAAGCTTCTACTTTTCATAAAGAAAAGCTTTTTGGCAGTATAGCTCTCACTGTTGCCTGAGTGTGTTCTGAAAGAGGAAGGACAGCTGTGACAGATGGATAATGCTGTACCAAAACAGAGAAAATGAGTCCGAGAAGAACTTGCCCCATGGGAACTAAAGTAAGGATTTTGATATGCCAGCTGCAGCTAGCTTAACACATATCTACTCTGCTCTCCAAAACACAATTTTTTAGTTGCTTAGCAAACTTTAAAAGATAAACTGCTTTCTAAGAAGAAAAAATTGGAAAAGACTATGAAAACTAGACTAAACAGCAAACCAAATACTTTACTTGGTTGATCAGTATTATTTTTCATATTTACTTTATTTTTTTATTTGTATTTTTTTTCAAGACAGAGTCTCGTTCTATGGCCCAGGCTGGAGTGCAGTGGCTCAATCATGGCTCACTTACAGCCTTCATCACTTGGAGTCAAGCACTCCTCCCACCTCAGCCTCCTGAGTAGCTGAGACTGTAGGCACGCACCATCATGCCCGGCTAATTTCTGTACTTTTAGTGGAGACAGTTTTGCCATGTTGCCCAGGCTGGTCAAACTCCTGGGCTCAAGTGATCTGCCTGCATTGGCCTCCCAGAGTGGTGGGATTACAGGCATAAACAAACCACTGTGCCCAGCCTATTTTTCATATTTACTACATTAACAGATAGTGACATTTTAACTGGATAACTTAAGAAGCTCTTTTAAAAATATACTCCTAAAAATTGTTCAACAGCATTTTTCTTGCTAAACTAATGACTTTCAATAATCATTGTATTTTGCCAGGTTCCATAATTTTGTTAGGCTTAAATTGGGACATGAGGTTGCTGGATTAAATTTCATTATTTTATGAGCTATAATCAGAGAAATGAGGTTTACATTAAGCTTAAATCTTAAACGGAAGTGCTTTATGGTATCAGACTTCCATTCTGCTAGAAACCTATCCTCTGACATTTTGGTAAACATGTTTACATTATTTAAAAAACAAACAGCTCTCACAGTTGAAATTAATGACTGAATATTCTGGTTGTTATAAGTCAGCACATTATGAAGAAGGCAAAACACAAGGTAGTCACTCTGTATTGAAGTGATTAGTATGGCAGTGGCAAGTCTCAGTAGTAATTTATTTAAAAGTGGAATAAAATGCTACTGTAATTTTTACCCTGGTTAAAATAAATGTGCTAATAAAAACCTGAAGATGAGATATAATTAATAGTTCTATGAAATGTGCTGCGATTGTGATATGAAGGCTATAACAATATTAATTCCTTACGTTTGGTCTGTTTCTAAGATGTTCATCAAGTGGAGTGATAATCTTCATCTGAGACAGGTGAACTCTGCCAGTGTCTTCTCCCTTTTGGCACTCCATGTAATTATTTTCCGTGTGCTTCAGCATCACAAGTACATCCCCACGCTGTAAGGTATAATACCACTCTCTGAAGCAATTATTATTTAATAAAACATTATTACTTTTTTTTCCACATTTTAATCTTTGGAGTCTAAAGCATTTAATAATGTGTAATAGTAAGAGAGGCCAGTGATATTTTTTCCATTAATCAGTAAAGAAAGAGCTCTACTTTACCTTACAAGAGAGTTCTCCAGGGTTTTGCGAGACAATGTCTTCACTGGCAATTCCATGAGGCACAGACAGCTTAAATGTAAACCAATAAAAGGCTTATTCACAATAAAATAATCTCTTCTGAAGTTGCTGATCATTTAGGAATTTGGCATGTGTGTGCCTAACGTGCACTTCTCCAGCAGCTAAACTCACCTGGCTTCATCATGCTCTAGATCAATGGGGCCTGCCATTTCTCACGGATGCTAGAGGCTCTTGGGAATTGGAGTTGGGCCTATAGAACCACAATGGCTGAACATGGCCTAACATTCCCTTAATGACCATAACCAGTAACTTCCATTCTACAGGACAAGATCCACCAACTCCCCTGGGGGTTTGAAGGAGAAATACCCAGCACCTGACCTCACAACCCATCAAGGCAGCCTTTAATTTAGGGTTCTCACAATGGTGGCCTCTGAAGGCTAATCAGTGATTGGAGCCCTCCATGTACTGCTTGCCTGACAGTTTCCACTGACTCTGAAGCTCTTCTCCTAGGGTCTCTCTGATACCAAGTGTCTACTTAAATCCATTTCATGGCCTGATCCCAGCCACTTCCTGGTCCACTTAGCTCTGTCTGATCTTAGAATGTTTTTTTTTTTTTTATCTGTACTGGACCTTGTCCAGGGGATGCTGTTTCCTGTTTTGGAAAATTTTAGCGGATGAATGCACATAAGAGGGTCTGCACTATATAAAAGGCATACCCAGGAAATGTAATCACACAAGCTTACTTCCAACATGGGAAGAAGGCTGTCTGGGCCCTTGGGTCACCCAGGAGCAAAGATACAGAGTGCAAGGATGTGGCCCTGTATGGCTGCCTTGGTGGTGCCATTTCCCAGCATGTTTGTCAGATTCCTAGGGCTCCCAAGGTACCCAGATTACTGGCTACCAATTTAATGGTACTGTAGGTATGCAATAAATGAAAAATTTAAAGAATTATTTTGTAATGAGACACACCGCTCTAAATATGCCATCATTTTGAATGTACTGAGTTTTAAAAAATGCTTTATTGACATTGTACAACTATGCTAATAATCAAACATGAAATCTGGTTCTCTCTGAGAAAGGGCTCTTAACACAGAATAACCAAATCAAGTAGAGGCTACAAGTGGTATAATGGTTAGGAGTAAGCGTCAGAGCCAGCTGACCTGTTCCCAAATATTGCTCCCACCATTAACTGGATTTGCGGCCTGGGCATGTTACTTTAGTTACTTTACGTCTTGGTTTCTTATTTTCCTCACTTGTTCAAGGAGCATAGTAATATCTATCTCACAAGGTTAGTGTGAGGAATAAATGAGTTATTTAATATATCCATAAAGTGCTTCCAACAGCGCCTGGCTCATAATTAGTACTCAATATAATCAGCTACTGTTTTTATTTATTAATTAAGTAATCTATCCCAAAGAACACCCCTGGGTTTTAGCAATTAAAGTTTTATCAGTTTAAATGAATATTAATACATACGAATATACTACCTCCTTCTTATTTGTCTATGCCCTTTTCTAAGGAGGATTTTTTTTTAAAACCTTGAACAGCTTAAAGAAAAAAAATTTCTAGCTCAATGATGGAAATATAACACAATATAGAATTATTAATTGCTGTTCTTGTTACAAGCTACTCTGTCATTCAATTGTGAAAAAATACAAAAAGTCCTGCTCTCCTTATCATTTTTATTTTTAATGTTTTTTTAAAAAGAGTCTCACTCTGTCACCCAGGCTGGAGTGCAGTGGCATGATCTTGGCTCATTGAAACACCTACCTCCTGGGTTCAAGCAGCTGGCCTCCCAAAGTGCTGGGATTATAGGTGTGAGCCACTGCACCCAACCTCCTTTTATTTGTTTTAGATTTTTTCAGGTTTACCTGATCAAAGTAGATAACACATCAACTCTGTTTTATTTGTTTTGTTTTGAGATGGAGTCTCACTCTGTTGCCCAGGCTGGAGTGCAGTGGCACAATCTCAGCTCACTGCAACCTCTGCCTCCCGGGTTCAAGTGATTCTCCTGCCTCAGCCTCCCAAGTAGCTGGGATTACAGGCATGCACTAATACGCCCGGCTAATTTTTGTATTTTTAGTAAAGGTGGGGGTTTTACCATGTTGACTGGGCTGGTCTTGAACTCCTGACCTCAAGTGATCTGCCTGCCTTGGCCTCCCAAAGTGCTTGGATTACAGGCATGAGTCACTGCACCTGGCAACTCTTTTTTTTTTTTTGAGACAGAGTTTCACTCTCATCACCCAGGCTGGAGTGCAATGATGCAATCTTGGCTCACCGCAACCTCCACCTCCCAGGTTCAAGCGAGTCTCCTGTCTTAGCCTCCCAAGTAGCTGGGATTACAGGCATGCACTACCATGCCTGGCTAATTTTTGTATTTTTAGTAGAGACAGGGTTTCTCCATGTTGGTCAGGCTAGGCTTGAATTCCCGACCTCAAGCAATCCACCCGCCTCAGCCTCCCAAAGTGCTGGGATTACAGGCTTGAGCCACCATGCCCAGCCGGCAACTCTGTTTTTTAACTGTGGAAAATGGAGACAAAGGTTTAGGTCATTTGATTAAAAAAAAAAAAACATTAAAAGAGAAATTAATATCTCAACTATTGATAAAAACTTCTAACTGGTAACTAATAAATGGACCATGATAGTTATTAGGCTTACAAAAAGGTGAAAATGAGGGAAAAAACCCATCTATCTTAGTAAAAACTTTGTACTTCATTTTAAAATTTTCTCAATAAACTATATCAAGATATAAACTATAGGCCAGGAGTGGAGACATGTTCCCATAGCCCCAGCTACTCAGGAAGCTGAAGCAGGAGGATCTCGGAGCTCAGGAGGTCAAAACTACAGTACAATATGATTGCATCACTGCACTCCCACCTGGGTGATAGAGTGACACCCCATCTCTTAAACAAAACAAAACAAAAAGATATAAACTATAGTATCTGTAAGAGTTACTCCCATTAGTAAAACCCACTGGGTCAGGTTTTTCAGGATTTCTTTGGTCCAGCCAGGCAGCAAGTTACAAGCCTGGCCTGGCCTGCCCTGCTTTTTCTCCCCTTTCTCTACATTTCTCCTAATAATGAAACCTTGCTTTAAAGACCTGTTTTGTTTATTTGTTTTGAAATAGAGTCTTGCTCTGTTGCCCAGGCTGCAGTACAGTGGTGCGATCTTGGCTCACTGCAACCTCTGCCTCTCAGGCTCAAACAATTCTCATGCCTTAGCCTCCTGAGTAGCTGGGATTACAGGATTGTGCCACCATGCCTGGCTAATTTTTCATAATTTTAGTAGAGCCAGAATTTTATCATGTTGGCCAGGCTGGTCTCAAACTTTTGGCCTCAAGCTGATCCACCAGCCTCAGCTTCCCAAAGGGCTAGGATTATAAGCGTGAGCCACTCTGACCATCCAAGACCTGGAATTTATTAAGGCCTACTCATCTAAAGCACTCTTGGCATCAAAACACAATTCCACATTTGTTTCATCAACTTTTTCTAAGGAATAATGAATCGTATATGTACTTTAGGGCAAACATCTTGACACAAACATTTTTAAAAGCTGAATTTACCATGTATTTACTGTAGAGAGGGTGTCCTGGTTTGGGGCGAGGGGGTAGCACCGGATCTTGATTTTTAAAAACCTGACTTTTGGCTTTTGAGAGTCCAGTTGCCAAGTTACTTTGTTTTTTCTGAAGATCCATGTCGGAACAGGATCGATTAAAAGGCAGTTTCTTATTAGAAGTTCTGGCTGCAGACAGCTTTGGGGGAGGTGGTCTCTCAGGGGGCGCCTTGGTTGGAGGCTGTTGAGTTGGAATGGCTTTTCCATTCCCAGGTCTGAAAGTCAAATGTAGCAGCCATGAGTCAATGTTTTGATCAGTATTAGATTCTGTTCTGTTCTGTCTTATACACACACACACACACACACACACACACACACACACACACAGCTTTCTGCTAGTGGAATACAATTTACTGAAACATGCAGGGTATGCTATTTTTGAGCAAATGACTGCTGCATTAAACATTATACTATTGGAGGAAACACCAATGATGTTCCAGCTTCCTCTTATCTTGCACTAGAGATTCATTAGTTCAAGACAAACAAGCATTTACTATCATGAGCTCTCTAACGTCCCATTTGCTCTTAAACACATCATGACTATTTCAGGAAACTGAGCACTTTCTACCAAAGTCTGAGATGAAAAGCTTATAACAAGCTATGATGTATGTGTGCTGGGGTCTTGTATATAATCAGAAAAGGAACATCAAAATCCCCTACATTCATGTCACTTGAGTTACTATTAAATCTCTAATTTAGATTAATATAAGCTAGTTCTAAAAGGATAGGACAACTATTACTTTGAAAGCCTTTCCTTAATCCCTATGATAGAAATAATTTTCGGCTAGGTGTGGTGGCTCACAGCTGTAGTCCCAGCACTTTGGGAGGCCGAGGCCGGCGATCACAAGGTCAAGCGATGAAGACCATCCTGGCCAACATGGTGAAACCCTGTTTCTACTAAAAATACAAAAATTGGCTGGGCATGGTGACGCATGCCTCTAGTCCCAGCTACTTGGGAGGCTGAGGTAGGAGAATCGCTTGAACCCCAGAGGCGGAGGGTGCAGTGAGCCGAGATTATGCTACTGCACTCCAGCCTGGGCAACAGAGTGAGACTCCATCTCAGAAAAAGAAAGAAAGAAAGAAATAATTTTCAACATAGTAATAAAATCTTCTGATAGCATTAAAGCCCTTTGTCTGAATAGCTCTGGAACTCTGAAGGCAGTTACCTCTGAGCTCACAAAGCCAGTCTCATTTGGAAATGCCAAAAACCAGTCCTGTCTCTCTTAACCAGGAGGGTGTTTGTATGCATGTATATGTACATTCTAGGAGTGAAGCTGTTTTAAGTTCAGCAATGAGTCTTGTTCATTTATTTGAGGAAATAAATTGCTCTATGAGTTGGACTGTGTTAAAATAAAAAGGGAGCAGAGATTCCCACAATCTACTGTTAGAAGCAGACTGTGGGCTAAGGGCCTGGGTGAATTGTTGAGATTATTTTATCTCTAAAAAAAAAAAAAGATCCAAGGCCAACCAAACTGAATCTTGGTGATAAAAAAGAGAGTTGGGTCGCTGATTCATTAATTCTTCTCTAACTTTTCCCACATTTACTTACCTCAGTGGCAACCTCGGTCCTCGCACAAAACCTCCTGTTTGACCTGTGTGGTTGGAGTCCTGCAAGGAGCAGAGAATGCAAGTTAAGATTAATCTGAAACAAAAGCTTGTCAGGAGAAATTCTGGACAACCTTTTGGCTGGATCTACAAGTAGAATGTAGTTGAGTTATAGAACTTAAAAGAGTTTTCAGCCTTAAACAATATTAACTCACTTCTGCCTGAATTATTCATGTCCTAATACAAGTGAAAACACTGACAGGAAGAAACCAAGTGGTCTCCCGTTGTGGACTACAGCCTGAACCATTGCACTGCATGGTCATGCACTCAGTGGATTCGTGAGATATTAAGGGAAAATTCAAGCAGGCCCTGAAGAGAATTTAAAAATATGTGTCCTTTATTCATTCCGTGATCACACATAAGAAACATGCTGCTCCTAAGTTTAAACACATAGTAAGTGGGGTGGTTATTAGTTGGTTTTGCTTTGAATAGGCAGATCTTATTACTGTTTGGCTTCAACACTTTGCAGTGGGTTTTGAACTAGAAGAAGGTGGGAACGTAAAAGAAGCTTGCAGGATGGTCTGAGAGGAAGGTGTGTGAGGAGAAATAAAGGTCCAAGAGGCATTGTACTTTTATCACTCCAGAAAAGGGGCTGGATGGGCTAAAAAGAGTTTTGTAGAAAAGAGAAAAAGAGTAGCAGAATAGGCTGGGCATGGTGGCTCATGCCTGTAATCCCAGCACTTTGGGAGGCCGAGGCCGGTGGATCACGAGGTCAAATCGAGACCAACCTGGCCAACATGGTGAAACCCCATCTTTCCGGAAAAAAAAAAAAGAGAGAGAGAAAAGGAGGATAACGTGAAAAATAAAAGACAGGTACAGTTGGAAAGAGAGAGAAAAGGAGAATAACGTGAAAAATAAAAGACAGGTAGGGTTGGAACAACCCTAATGGTTGATGTGAGGAATTGGAAGTGTGGAGATTAATAGGAAGATTTCTGTAGGGAAGGGATTCAAATTGTTGCATTTAAACAGGTTTTCTGAAGATGTTTTAGCCCAAGGACTGGGAAACGAGCATAATACATGAAAAATATTTTCAGATCTTCTGTTGAGTGGGAAGCCAAAAGGATCTCAAAGCCAAAATTTCTTTTTTTCAGGAGGGTGAAAAAGCCCTCATGAATTTTTTTTTTTTTTTTTTTTAAGACAGTCTTGCTCTGTTGCCCAGGCTGGAGTGCAGTGATGGAATCTCAGCTCACTGCAACATCTGCCTCCCAGGTTCAAGTGATTCTCCTGCCTCAGCCTCCCGAGTGGCTGAGACTATAGGTGTGCACCACCACACCTGGCTGATTTTTGTACTTTTAGTAGACATGGGTTTCACGATGTTGGCCAGGATGGTCTCGAACACTCGCCCTGGCCTCCCAAAGGAGGTTTAATTAAAGCTTGGGAATCTTTGGGTTACTTCAGACTGTTTTCCTCCTTCCTATAAATGAGCGAAAACTCACTTTCATGATTTTTAAATTATACTGAATATTTATAGCTTTTTCCTTAAATACCAAATGATTAATTGCCAGTAACTGTGATTTAAACATGTTTCAATGTTATAAAATCCCATTTAAAAAAACAAATTAAGCTTACCCTTAAAACTTGGTTTGACTAATGAGTTTAGTTAATGTAGTAAGGCAAGTAACCAGCTCATAAACCTTGCAATATTCCAGAATATAATCCATGCCTTATAAATACACTGCTGCCTATATTTTTTCCTGACAAATATTGCCATGATGCTTGAAAAAAGCATTTATTTCTTTGGCTACCTTTAAAATTAAAACAAATTCTAGCAGATAGGAAGAAACTTTAATTGTTTTTCTCAAAAACTGTAATTATTAGATACACTGATAAGAAAAATTTTAAAAAGAGACGTATAAATTTGAAGTGGAAAGATGGAGATGATATACTATAATAAATCATAGCTTATGATCCTAATTTTGTACCAAATATTGGCTATAGTTTTTCCTGGGTGATGGTATTTTTATGGGAAATCTTAAACATCTTTTTAATTTCTTAATTTGCAACAGTGAGAAACTTTTACATCAGAAAAAAATAGTACATTCAAACTCTTTAGGGATGTTAGGCACATCCTAAAATAATACTACATTCAAATTCTTTATCTGACACACTCCAAATACTAAGAGAAGGAGACAGTTCCTGCAGGAGCCATTGCCTTAGTGTTTGTTCAAGTCTGGGTTCATGCCCAGGTTCTGCTAAGTCTTTGGAAGGTAAGTGATTAGGGACTTCCTTCTCTTGATATTCCACACATAACCTGTATATTCTCTGCATTTGCTTTTTGGTAGTTTTTCTCCAGCTCTGATATCCCTGAACTCTGGCCTTTTTCAACCAGGCTGGAGTGCAGTGGTGTGATCTCAGCTCACTGCAACCTCTGCCTCCTGGGTTCAAGCGATTCTCCTGCCTCAGCCTCCTGAGTAGCTGAGATTACAGGCATGTGCCACCCCACCCAGTTAATTTTTGTATTTTTAGTAAAGACGGGGTTTGGCCATGTTGTCCAGGCTGGTCTCAAACTCCTGACTTGTGATCTGCCTACCCTGGCCTCCCAAAGTGCTAGGATTACAGGCATGAGCCACTGCACCTGGCCCTTAACTCTGGCTTTTAAGGTGTTTGGACAAGCATTTTTGTTTCTGGTGAAATTGTTTTTCTGATTGTACTGCCTCTGCAGATTCCATCTTTTTGTTCATCTGCACTGAAATAAGATTCCAATTTAAAAATAATTCCCCAGTTTTTTGCTATTTTTTATTTCTTTCTTTTCTTTTTTTTCTGAGATGGAGTCTCACTCTGTTGCCTAGGCTGGAGTGCAGTGGCGTGATCTCTGCTCACTGTAACCTCTGCCTCCTAAGTGACTCTCCCACCTCAGCCTCCGGAGTAGCTGGGACTACAAGCATGTGCAACCATGCCTAGCTAATTTTTGTATTTTTAGTACAGTTGGGGTTTCACCATGTTGGCCAGGCTGTTCTGGAACTCCTGATCTCAACTGATCCACTTGCCTCGGCCTCCCAAAGTGCTGGGATTATAAGCGTGAGCCACTGTGCCCAGCCTTTTGCTATATATTTTTAAAAAACAGATATTTCACTGGGCATAGTGACTCACGCCTGTAATTCCAGCACTTTGGGAGGCCAAGGTGGGTGGATCACCTGAGGTCAGGAGTTCAAGACCAGCCTGACTCAGGTGAAGTCCAGCCTGACAACATGGTGACACCCTGTCTTTACTAAAAAATACAAAATTAACCAGGCATGATGGGTGCATGCCTGTAATCCCAGCTACTCTGGAGGCTGAGGCAGGAGAATCACTTGAACTTGGGAGGCAGAAGTTGCAGTGGGCTGAGATCACGCCATTACACTCCAGCCTGGGCAACAAGAGCAAAACGCTGTCTCAAAAAAAAAAAGAAAACAACAACAGATGTTTCTCCAATGACCACACTCTTGTCTGCTGGAATTACTGAGTGGCCTTCACATGTTTCTTATCTTTTTCCTCCAGGAATCAAGAATTAGCACCATTTTTTTTTTTTTTTTGAGACAGAGTCTTGCTTTGTTGCCCACGCTGGAGTGTAGTGGCACGATCTAAGCTCACTGCAACCTCCACCTCTGGGTTCAAGCAGTTCTCCTGCCTCAGCCTCCCGAATAGCTGGGATTACAGGCACGCACCATCACATCTGGCTTATTTTTTTGTAGAGACAGGTTTCGCCATGTTGGCCAGCTGGTCTCAAACTCTTGGCTTCAAGTAATCCACCCACCTCAGCCTCCCAAAGTGCTGAGATTACAGGCGAGAGCCAGCATGCCTGGTCCAGCACCACTTCTTACATACTGAATTCATATTAGCCTGTCTCCTTGCACACACAGTGTTTCTTTGAGTCAACTTCTGTGCTGTACCTTTGATTCCTCACACACACTAAGCAGTGTCTCCCGACTCTCCTTCTATACTGGTTGGCAGCCTCCTTGGGGGATGCTGTGGGAGCCTTGTGTTCCTATGGTAGGCAACAGGGCACAGAGGTTTCTGCTCCTGCTGAGAGAATGGCTCCTGAAGATACCGATGTTCTTCACCCTGGAGTCCCTCATCATTTAAGCAAAGAAAGCAAAAAATGCACCATCTTACTCTGAGATGGAAAGTCCCCCAGGACTCAAAGCAGAAAAAACAAGTAAAGAGTTTTTGTCCTATGTCTCAGTCAGGAGACATCTTTGGCAAAGACCATGCCTATCCTCATGGGTCATTATACTGGTGCCCTCATCCACACTTTAAAGTATTTTTTTTTTTTGAGACAGAGTTTCACTCTTGTTACCCAGGCTGGAGTGCAATGGCATGATCTCAGCTCACTGCAACCTCTGCTTCCTGGGTTCAAGTGATTATCCTGCTTCAGTCTTCCAAGTAGTTGGGATTACAGGCACGTACCACTACGCCTGGCTAATTTTATATTTTTAGTAGAGATGGTGTTTCACCATGTTAGGCTGGCCTTGAACTCCTGACCTCAGGTGATCCCCCTGCTTCAGCCTCCCAAAGTGCTGGGAATACAGGTGTGGGCCACCATGCCTGGCCCATACCTTTAAGACTTTATGGCCCCTGTTCCAAAACTCATTCAGTAATTGTAATTCTCAAACAAAGGTATTTTCTTAGGCACAGATTGACTTTCAGGCCCCAGAAATCTATATGTGTGACTTTGAGGCAAATCGTTTAACTTGTAGTCTGATTCTTCAACTCTTCTTCCTTTAGACTCAGTGTGTTTATTATGGTATGCATTTATTATGGTATAGTACTGAATGTTCTGACTCCCTTTGTAAACAATGCAGGACAGGATTTTCCTCAAGTTGTCAAGTGAGCTTCAAACACTATGACTATAGTATCTTTCCAGATGGTTTAGTTTATTCTGACTTCCTCTTCTTGTTTTTCTAAAATGTAGAAGTTGCTTGTGGACTGCTTAGGACTAAACATAATAATAACATAATAATACTAACTATGTCTTTTCTTCTTTTTTTTTGAGACAGAGTCTTGCTCTGTCGCCCAGGTTGGAG